AGCAAATGCGCGAGCGGTGGCGCTCTCGCGGTGGCGGTTGCAAAAAAAAACTTTTCCAAGCCAGCATGCGTCGTTCGAGTAAGACGTTTCGGCGTGGGCGCCCGCTTTTTAGGTAGACACTTAGCAAATGCGCGAGCGGTGGCGCTCTCGCGGTGGTTTGCAAAAAATGCCCTTTCCAAGCCAGCATGCGTCGTTCGAGTAAGACGTTTCGGCGTGGGCGCCCGCTTTTTAGGTAGACACTTAGCAAATGCGCGAGCGGTGGCGCTCTCGCAGTGGCGGTTGCAAAAAAACAATATTTTCCAAGCCAGCATGCGTCGTTCGAGTAAGACGTTTCGGCGTGGGCGCCCGCTTTTTAGGTAGACGCTTAGCAAATGCGCGAGCGGTGGCGCTCTCGCGGTGGTCAACCCCCTGGGATAAAGAGTCCGGACCGCAGAGGTCGGGGAATAAACCTTGATGTTCGGCTGCCGTTAGGCCACGGGGCCCCGGTACAATGCTGCAGGGGCCGCCATGGTTAAATTCCCGGTCCGTCCTCACCCCCTCTAATACTGTAATCGCCAAATGGGGTGACGACCGGAAATCCGCATTCCGCCGAATACTTCCTCCAAAAAAATGTCCGGACGCTTTTCAGGCGACCGGAAATTCTCAGTGGCGACCAGACATTGGCGATTTCGCTTGGGACTTCCTCTCAAATGAAATTCCGGTCCCAGTCATGTTGCTTGGAAGTTGCGATAATGCCTGGTACTTCTTGCCAGTCATGTTGACCTCTCGGGGAGCGACGATGCAAGGGGGCTTGCAGTGCCGATCTGGACTTTTTAATCCAGGGGGTGGTTGCAAAAAATGTCCTTTCCAAGCCAGCATGCGTCGTTCGAGTAAGACGTTTCGGCGTGGGCGCCCGCTTTTTAGGTAGACGCTTAGCAAATGCGCGAGCGGTGGCGCTCTCGCGGTGGTCAACCCCCTGGGATAAAGAGTCCGGACCGCAGAGGTCGGGGAATAAACCCTGATGTTCGGCTGCCGTTAGGCCACGGGGCCCCGGTACAATGTTGCAGGGGCCGCCATGGTTAAATTTCCGGTCCGTCCTCACCCCCTCTAATACTATAATCGCCAAATGGGGTGACGACCGGAAATCCGCATTCCGCCGAATACTTCCTCCAAAAAAATGTCCGGACGCTTTTCAGGCGACCGGAAATTCTCAGTGGCGACCAGACATTGGCGATTTCGCTTGGGACTTCCTCGCAAATAAATTTCCGGTCCCAGTCATGTTGCTTGGAAGTTGCGATAATGCCTGGTACTTCTTGCCAGTCATGTTGACCTCTCGGGGAGCGACGATGCAAGGGGGCTTGCAGTGCCGATCTGAACTTTTTAATCCAGGGGGTGGTTGCAAAAAATGTCCTTTCCAAGCCAGCATGCGTCTTTCGAGTAAGACGTTTCGGCGTGGGCGCCCGCTTTTTAGGTAGACACTTAGCAAATGCGCGAGCGGTGGCGCTCTCGCAGTGGCGGTTGCAAAAAAAAACAATCTTTTCCAAGCCAGCATGCGTCGTTCGAGTAAGACGTTTCGGCGAGGGGGCCCGCTTTTTAGGTAGACGCTTAGCAAATGCGCGAGCGGTGGCGCTCTCGCGGTGGTCAACCCCCTGGGATAAAGAGTCCGGACCGCAGAGGTCGGGGAATAAACCTTGATGTTCGGCTGCCGTTAGGCCACGGGGCCCCGGTACAATGTTGCAGGGGCCGCCATGGTTAAATTTCCGGTCCGTCCTCACCCCCTCTAATACTATAATCGCCAAATGGGGTGACGACCGGAAATCCGCATTCCGCCTAATACTTCCTCAAAAAAAAATTCCGGACGCTTTTCAGGCGACCAGAAATTCTCAGTGGCGACCAGACATTGGCGATTTCGCTTGGGACTTCCTCGCAAATAAATTTCCGGTCCCAGTCATGTTGCTTGGAAGTTGCGATAATGCCTGGTACTTCTTGCCAGTCATGTTGACCTCTCGGGGAGCGACGATGCAAGGGGGCTTGCAGTGCCGATCCGGACTTTTTAATCCAGGGGGTGGTAGAGGGCCCGGAGGTCCGAAAATCAACTTAAAAACAATTGGAAAAGCAATGTTTTCGGCCTTCTCGCCTTTTCGCTTCCGATCGGCTCGGGGGGCGTCAAGGCTGGCGCAACAGGGCCCGGAGATGTCGCAACTCGGCCAGGAGTGGGGCCCAAGAATGAACAAATGTAGGAAAATCATTGGAAAGCCGAGGTTTTGGTCTTCTCGCCTTGTCGCTTCCGATTGACTCTTGAGGCGTCCAGATGCCTCCAAGACGGCTCCAGATGAGGCCCCAGACGAGCCCCAAAGAGGCCCAAGGCTGGCGCAACAGGGCCAGGAGAGTTGGAAAAGCAAAGGAAACACAATAAAAACAATGTTTTCGGCCTTCTCGCTTTTTCACTTCCGGTTGACTCTGGGGGCGCCCAGACGACCCCAGGACGGCCACAGGGAGGCGCAAGACAGGCCCGAGGATTCGAAAGTCTTTTGGAGGAGGGCGGGGTGGGGGGGGCGCTCCCTGGTCCTATAGGGCCCGGAGAGGGGGGCCCAGAGATGGACAAATGTGGGAAGATCTTGGGAAAAGCAAGACGTTCGGTCCTCTCGCCTTGTCGCTTCCGATTGGCGCTTGAGGCATCCAGATGCCTCCAAGACGGCTCCAGATGAGACCCCAGACGAGCCCCAAAAAGGCCCAAGGCTGGCGCAACAGGGCCCGGAGAGTGGGAAAAGCATCGGAAACGCAATAAAAAATAATGTTTTCGGCCTTCTCGCTTGTACACTATCGTTTGGGGGGGCGCTGGGGTGTGGGCTCCCTTGCCCTATAAAATATATAAATAGGAATGTGTATGTATGTATGTATGTATGTATGTATGTATGTACGTATGTATGTATGTATGTATGTATGTACGTATGTATGTATGTATGTATGTATGTATGTATGTATGTATGTATGTATGTATGTATGTGTGTATGTATGTAAATGTATGCATATGTGTATATATATAGTCCTGTTCATATATCTTTATATGGCCAGGGACGCCGGAGAAAAGCGCACACACACACAAACACACAAACACACACACACACACCTAACGAATTTGGCCCTCCCCGGGCCTCCCGGCAACCCTTCAGACGACCCGGGAGAACCTCACGAGAGCCCGAAGACGGCCCCACACGGGTTCCAGGCGTTCTGGCGCGCCTCCGAAACGACCCCAGAGAGCTCCAATACGGTCCACGACGACCCACAAGAAGCCATGGTACCCTCAAAGATCGCTCCAAAACGTCCCAAGAGGCCTCCAAGAGGACTCTCAAGAAGGCCCCAAGAGGCAAAAAACATACATCTTATGTTGTTTTTGGTGAATTGTGGGGTTCTCCTCTTTTCGGCTTCCCGACGCTCCAAGACGGCGGTCTTCTGGGCGTCCGAAGCCGCCTGGGAGGCTCCAAAATCGGCACAACAGGGGTCCAAGATGGCCTTGAGGGAGCCCCTTGACGGCCCAAGATGGCCCCAAGACACCCTCCGAAACATTCCAAATCGTGACCCGGTCGTTCAGGGAGACCGCGGCTGGAGGCAGGGTGGCCCGAGGAAGCCCCCAGAGGCCCCCAGAAGACGCCCAAGAGGCCTCCAGAAGGCCTCAAGAAAACCTGAAAAACTGTTGTGAGGCCCCCAGAGGCTCTCCAAGGAGGAGCCTCCGCAAAAAGAGCTGAGGAGGATGGGGAGAATGCCAGGGCATGACGAGAATGAGGAAAAAGAAGCATGGAGGAAAGATAACGCATAACATTATTATAACGGCGATGCCAGAAAAGGCAACAAGGAGTTATCGCTAGATTGTCGGCTCAACCTTCCTGCCATTGCGCCTGCATCTCAAACTTCAAGGACCAAGGTGCATGGCGCACAGCGCCACTGCAGTCTTGTATCGATGTATATATATATATATATATATATATATATATGTGTGTATAGGTTTGTCTAGTGTGTGTGTGTATGTGTGTACGCGTGCGTTCGTAAATACTACTACGTCTATAAGAGAAGGAGGGAGAGAGAGAGAGAGGGACCACGGCAAAACAACGATTACATATATATATATATATATATATAGAGAGAGAGAGAGAGAGAGACATCTGAGGAATACGCCTTCGACCCCGTCCCTGGGGCCGATTTCGCGAGGGCTTCCCGGACGAAGGCGACGGTTTGGGATTCTGCGCCGGATTCCGTGGAGGTCGCCAGAAGCGGTGCAGGAAGCTCTCTTGGCCCCGCCCCTGGGCCGATTTCGTGAGGGGATCCCCCGAGCGCGGGCGCTGGTTTAGGTAGGATTCCGCATCGGATTCTGTCAGATTCGACGGCAGCGGTGCTGGAAGCGCAGTTGTTGGCCTCGTTTCCTCGCGCACCAGAGGTCAGGATGACGTGAGTTCTAAAGGAACTCTCTCAAACAACCAGTGTAACCCTGGCACTGACGACAGCAACCTGATATACGTGATGAATGTTGATGTGCAACGAGTCAGTGAGAATGGTAAGTTGGCTCCAGATGAAACGAAGATCTTATACGATGAGAAATGTACAGATGCACGAATGACAATAAAGACAAGGATACCAGACATGACACCGACATAGCAAAAACGATTGCAATGGCTGAAATAGCAATGCACCAAAGCATACACCTACAATGTCAAGAAATATGTTAGGAGACATGCGGAACTGGTACGCACCCCATCGCCCCACCCCTGACCTCTCTATCAGCTGCAAGCTGGCCTACCAGGCTTGCGACAGAGTAAAGCGGACCTCGATGGTTGCCTTCCTCTTTGACACAAAGTTCAGAATGCTTCGAGGTAACTTTCGCATGCCCATATATTCCCGAATGCTTCTTGCATAGACCTAAACGCAGCATAATGCTACGAAAACTGGTCGGCTGGACATGAAGGCCAGACGTACAAACCAGATCTAAGCAGAAATACATGAATCGCAATTTTGGATTCGGCCTGTGCCGTCTGTCCTTGGTGATGACAGGACCGGCCCCCTCCAGGATCGTGATGTCGAACGTCTCGTCCTTGCGGCCCCATAAGCAGAAGGCACGCGATGATTATTGCTTCTAGTTCTAGGGCTGGTCCACGCATAAAGTCCCACCCGCACAGGGCTCGACACGCATAGGGCTCCAGACATCGGGCTCCACACGCAGTGTTTCACACATCGAGGGCTCTGCACACTTTTGCTCGGTAGGCGCGGCCGCCAGCCTGTGCCAGTCTCCCACCCGAGCAGGCGCGCATGGCAAGACAAAAACGAGGAAAGAGCGAGAACGCAGCCCGCGCGTGCGCCACGGCCGACAAAAGAAGCCGCCATCGCAAGGGCTCCACACGCACAAGGCTCCACACACACAGGGCTCCACACATAGGGTGGCACATCTAGGGTTCCATACGCACGCAGGGTCGCCAACGTAGGGCGCCACACATAGGGTTTCGAACACTGAGTCCTCGACACACTGAGGGCTCCACGCGCATTGCTGCATAAATGAATTGGTTGTGTGGAACCCTGGCGCGATTGGAAATGTCGGACATAATGCTGGTATATACGTGAACCAACTCAGAATTCTACAAGTGGCCACAGATATGACGTCCATCGATCCGGCGTGTGAATATGAAGAGGGCCTGAAAAGAGCCGCTCGGGAGGAACGTGGGTCGGGAACGAGAGACCTTCGGGAAGCGAGAAAACAGATCGAAGCCAGCGACGCTTGAGAACAAATGGAGACCCAAGTTCCCCAACCAAACAATACTTGTACTAAGTTTTTTAGTGCAAGCACTGTACTAAGCCCGATAGCACGCGAAAGAACACCTTGGTCTAAAGGGGTTCTTACCCGTCTTGTAAGTGACTGGGCGCCAGTTCCAGATATTCGGCTCGTGGGCGCTCGTTGTCGCCCCGTCTGGCTCCACGGTCTGCACTGATCTGCACTGATCTGCATCGTATCTTCCCCAAGGACTCCGAAACCGCGCATGACCACTGAAGAACCCTGCGCGGCAACCCCAGGACGGCCAAGGACTGGCCCCGGCAGGCTCCAGTTCAGCCCGCGGCAGCTTCCCCTCCGACATTCTTCCATTTCTTCATCCTCCACCCCTCGTTCCCATCTCCCTCTTTCCCTGGCCCTCCTCCTCCTCCTCCTCCACCACCATTTCTTTTTCCTTATACATAACTTCTCCCTGTCGCACCCCGAGGCCAGTTTTTAGGGCGGGCCGGGCGTTTCGCCTGATACTTCCTCACCATTTTTGATTCCGAAGCTTCAAACATGTCAACCGCTTCACAGATGGAGGGCGGGTCGTTTTCAGAATGCGGCTCTCGCCGTAGCGCCGCGCACATTCGTTTTAAAACTTTGCAAGAGTTTCACGGATGGAGCGCGGGTCGTTTTCAAAATGTGACTCTCGCCTTCGCGCCGCGCACATTCGTTGTAAAAATTTGCAAGAGTTTCACGGGTTGAGCGCGGGTCGTTTTCAAAATGTGGCTCTCGCCTCAGCGCCGCGCATATTCTTTTTAAAACTTTGCAGGAGCTTCACGGATTGAGGGCGGCTCCTTTTCAACATGTGGTTCTCGCCTTCACGCCGCGCACATTCAAATTTTGTAGAAGTTTCACGGATTGAAGGCGGGTGGTTTTCAACATGCGGCTCTCGCCTCAGCGCCGCGCGCACTCGTTTAAACATTTGCACGAGCTTCACGGATTGAGGGCGGGTGGCTTTCAACATGTGGCTCTCGCTTCAGCGCCGCGCACATTCTATTAACAAATTGCAGGAGTGTCACGGATCCCCATGATCAACGTACCAGAAACTGTGTTTTGGAAGGATTCTGGATTATGCGGGCGCAACCGTTCTGTTGATTCGCGGTGTTGGAGTCCCAAAACCGGCGTTCTGGCACGGTTCCAGATCAGGACGCAGCAATCAGGTTGATCCACGGCGTGGAAATCCCGAGAACATTGTTTTGGCATCCTTCAAGGTCTTTAAGCGGTTGTCTTCCAACGAGGAAGTTCCCTCAATGGGAATGAACCGTTGTAGGGGCCTATGAAGAGGGAGCTTGGAGGGAGGGGTAATTCCAGCATCGTTGATGACTCTTGGGTTTGCACTGGTCCTCCTCCTCCTCCTCCTCCTCCTCCTCCTCATCATCATCATCATCATCATCATCATCATCATCAGCATCAGCATCAGCATCAGCATCAGCAGCAGCATCATCATCATCATCATCATCAGCATCACCAGCATCACCAGCATCACCAGCATCATCAGCATCATCAGCATCATCAACATCATCATCAGCATCAGCATCAGCATCAGCATCACCAGCACCAGCACCAGCATCATCATCATCATCATCATCATCATCATCATCATCATCATCATCATCATCATCATCATCATCATCATCATCATCATCATCATCATCATCATCATCATCCTGCAGCATGGCCCGGAAACACTTCCACGTACAGCCCAGATGCGAACCCAAAGATACCCAGAGAAGGATTGCTCTGCCCCCCTCCTCGATCACCGATCCTCCTCGCACTCGCCAAAGCCCTCCCTCCACCCTCGATCCCCCCCCCCTCAGAGGGCGGCCGGAGTCCTGGTCGCAGGGGTTCTGGAACGGCACGGCGGCGTACTCCTGCGGCAGGACGCCAGGCACACACCCCAAACCCATCCTGGCCGGGCTCCCGGCCTGGGCCCACGGCCGGCGCCTGCGCGCCCTCCTGCCTCGGCCGGGACGGCAGACCTCCTGGCCGGGCCCCCGTCCTGGTCGCGGGAGGCCGCCGAGCACACGTTTTGATCTGCGGGGCGAGAGCGAACCTCTTCCGCCACAAGCTGGGCGGGCTATAGGCGCAGCTTTGATCAGGGCAAGGCCGCCGAGCACTCGTATCCTGGCCGGCCCCCCCCTCCCTGGGCCCACGACTGGTGCCGTGCGCGCCCTCCTGCCCAGCGGCCGGGCCGGCAGGTCGCGCCGGCCCCGTGCCCGGGGTCGGCACGGCCAGGCTGCAGCGCGGGTGCGCAGCGGGAGCCCAGCCGACCCGGCTGCACGCAGGAGGGAGGGGCCTCGGGCAGTAGCGAGCTTCTGGCGCGCGGCCCTCGGGGGGCGCGGGGAGGCCAGACCCAAGCGCGCGCAAGGCGCTGCCTATCGCAGCGCGCTCGGCGGTCGGGGGACCCCGGGGGGCCCGCACCAGAGGCCACTGGCGGCGACGGGTCGCTCTGACGTGCAGTGGGCACTGGCAGGTCCTTCGCCCGAACATCAGCCCGACCACCGGTCTGTGAGTCGCCCCCCCTGCCCCGCAACTCCGCGCCTCTGCCTGCGCCCCCCAGAACATATGCACAACGCCAGAGAGAGTTTAGCTGATACCATCTTGCACATTCACCCTCCTTCTCCTCCTCCTCCTCCTCCTCCTCCTCCTCCTCCTCGTCCTCCTCCTCCTCCCCCCCCTCCTCGTCCTCCCCCTCCTCTTACGTGTAGTCGACCCATCCTGTGCGCCGAACGGGGCCCGCACCACGACGGGCTGCGGCGGTTCCCGCCGCCGCTCCTTGCGGGCGGGCCCGTCGTCGTCGTCGTCGTCGTCGTCGTCGTCGTCGTCGTCGTCGTCGTCGTCGTCGTCGGCGTCGGCGTCGTCGTCGGTGGCCACCAGCGGTCCCTAGCGGCCTCCAATGGCTCAGGCAGCGGCGGCGGCGGCGGCGGCGTCGTCGTCGTCGCGGTCGCCGCCGCCGCCGCCGCCGCGGCCGCCGCCGCGGCCGCCGCTGCCACCGTCGTCGTGGTCGCCGGCGACGGCGAACGCAGGCGGCGCGAGGCCAGCCTGGTCGGCCCCTGCCCCCGCTCCCTGGGCCCAGGGCGAGGACACGAGACTCCCCTCGACGCCGTGCGGGGCATGCCTCGCTCGCGCGCCCGCGCGGGAGATGCACGGCGCTCTGGCAGCCCAGGCCGCGCAGCCGCCCCGGCAGGGCCACCTCGATCGCCTGCGCGCCCTCCTGCGCGGCGACCTGGCGCGCGGAGCGAGCAGGCCGTGGGAGCACAGGGCCGCCAGAGACGCCACCCCCCCCCCCCCCGTCCCCGCCCAGGAGGGCCAGCGGACACAGCCCGAGGGCCGCCTGCCGCGCGCCCGCTGGCACGAGCTCCCGGGGCGGCGCCCGGCCTCTGCCACACGTCGGCGGGGGGGTGGGCTGCCTCGGGGGCGCGCGGCGCCGGCGGCCTGCGGGCGGGGAGCGCCAGGCCACGGCGCACACGGCGCACGTCCGAGGGAGGGCTCGCCAGCCTACGCTCCTGCCCAGATCGGGCCTGGCCCTCGAGCCCTCCCGTGCCAGGTGCACGTCGTCGACGTCGCGGCGCGAACCCCCCCCGTGCCAGGTGCTCGCAGCGCGAGGGAGTGGGGCCAGCCCAGAGCGTCGATGCCGAACCCTCCTTTTCGCTGATAGCGTCTCGCCGCAAGCTTCTTACAGTGGCCAGGGGTTGTGCTGGGTGTGTTTTTCCTGTGGTGGTCAACTGTGCCCATCGCTGGCCACACGGCGCGTTTTTATTACCACTTACTACCCACTGCGTCCAACGAGCTGTATGGTCCAACGAAGGCACCCACATTACCGAGACGTCACCTGCACCACAAGGTTCGAGACGCTGTACGTCTCATTCAGCACAACAGACCACAGGTGCGGAAGGTAAAAAGCAAAGAGTCGTCGTTCGGCAAATGTTACCCCAACAGTCTGAAACCAAGGCGTCCCATCATGCCAATAATAAATCGCCTGCAAGAACGACATTTCAATGACGATGCGGATTGCCAACAAGGTGGGGACTGCGCTGAGGATAACGAAGCGGAAGCTTCGCCTTGCAACCCGACAGCTTGCTTCACAGGCCTTGGCTTCCTCTTCCGATCTCCGAGCCTCCTCTTCTAATTGCCGTAAGGTCGTGGCAGCCTGGTCGAACTTACGCTGCTGCGCGTCGGCTTGCTCCTGCGCTTCATCATACAGTCTTTGGGCATCAGAGGCCTCCCTGCACGCATCACGCACATTTTGACGACCCACGCCTGATATTACGCCATAGATCCCACCGGCCAAGGCCATCAAGCCTCCGCCAAGTGCTGACCCGATGGGGCCAAAAAACAGGAACCCCATGCCTGCCCCAGTAAGACCCGCCCCGGCTGCCCCACCAGTGAATCCTGCAATGACTGGGTTGTGACTCGGTCCACCTGCAGCCTCGATCGCCTGCCCGACCCGTTGCCCAACCTCATCTCCCAACCCCGCAGCCAAGGTCGCCGGCACGCTGACAATATCCGTCGGCTCGATTGTTGCAGTCTGTGCCAATAGGGCAGTGACCAAGAGACCACCACGCGCTGAGACATTCATTCTCTTAGCTATGGATTTCTGCCTTCTTGCGTTCTCAGCTGCTCTCTCTACGCTGGCAGCTTGCTCATGAACAAGTTCTGCAATGCTCTGGCGCTGCAGTGAAATCCGCTCTATGCCAGCTCTGGCTTCTTCGGACGACCTCTTCAACCTTGCGTGCTCGCTCTTGAGGCACTCTCCAGGAATACGAACCTGGATATTCTTCACCTTGTCAAAGATACGCTGCTTCCAACTCACCCCCAACCGATGATAGACACTAGCGCCATCTCTGGGAGAAATGTAACGAAGCCTGGGATAATGTGCGTCACCCAGTATGGCATTAGCAAGACAAGAAAACCTGCCTTCGTGTATACGATTTTCCACAGAATATCCTCCCTCCTGGTCCACAGGAGACCAGCTCCTTGCGCCCAGCGGCTCTCCATGTCTGCAGCACCCTCAGCCCATGCTCTCCCAAACCTCACCAAGTGGAATGTTATGTACAGCTGCGCAAGGGCTGACAAAGTCGAGTAAATGTTTGGGCCCAAGATAAGCAAAGCCCCAAGGCATTCATAGCTCAGAGGGCCTGTGATGCTTGACATCCACCACGCCCTAAGGATGAGTATCACATTCGACGGGGTCAACAACAACTGGTAGTTCGAATACAAGTCTAGAAATTGAACTTCATATGCTGCAGGCGCTCGATCCCAATTTTCGATACTCTTAATACCCAACACGTACGCTTGACCTGCAGTCTGGATCATCTCGATTGCTACTTCAAAGTAGTAAGGCTGTTGTGGGGGAAGTCTGCAGCCAGCAATCGGCTCGAAGAAGCCCTGCTTGTCATAGTGCTCCCCCGCATCCAACAACCACGGCTTGGATAAATGAACTGCAGCTAGCAGGGCGACAAACGTGAAAGCCAAACAGGCAACACATACCCCCACACGAAGACGCAAACTGAGTCCCCTGCTCTGGGCAGGAAGTAAGGCGTACGAGCCACCGTCTGCATCCATCAATCATGAAGCCATCAAGGCGCTCGAGCCATGTCAAGGCAACGAAGCCGGCATGGCCTCAGCCAAAGAGACTTGAGCCAAGCTCCCTGGTTCCCTCTCGGCGCTGACTGTTCCCTGGCTCCCGCTCGAGAGCGGTGCGTCCCAGGTGGTTCAAACGATGGTGCATCCCAGGACCGTTTCAGGTACATCCCATGCGTGCCCACTCGAGGGTGGCGCGCCCCAGGTGCAATCAGTTGCGCGCCCAAGGACGGCTCCAGGTGCATTCCGTGAGGGCCCGCTCAAAGATGACGCGCCCCAAATCCAGACAATGGTGCGTCACAGGACCGCTCAAGGTGCATTCCGTGCATGCCCTCCCGAGAATGCCGAGCCCCAAGTGATATGTTCCATCTCGGCGGGTCCGTTCCAGGTGCATTCCGTGAGTGCCCGCTCGAGGGTGGTGCGTCCCAGGTCCAGACAAAGGTGCGTCCCAGAGACATGCTCCTCACAACTCCAGGTCTCCACGGTCCAGAAATAAAGGGACGGGCACGGGATTCTCACCACTCCAGGCCTCCCAGGTCCACAGAGCGCGGCAAGGCGCCGGACCATCGCTGTTCCCTGTCCCTGGGGTCCAGAAGGTGCAGGGGCAAAGGGTTCTCACCGTTCCACATCTCGGAGGTCCAGGCAATGCGGCAGGGGCCTCAGACTCTCTCCACTCCCAGCCTCCCCGGACAGTGTGACGGAGTCACCTGGTGCTCTCCCTTAGAAGTCCCCAGGGTCCAGAACATGTGGAAGACACGGGGCTCTCACAGCCCAGGCATCCAAGGTCCAATGAGCACGGCAGGGGCATCGGATACCCGCCGTTCCATCATCTCCCAGGTCCAGGGAATGTGGAAGGGGCACTCGACTCTCAGCAGGTCCTCCAGACCAAAACCACCGCCCTAAACATACCCAAATCCTTGGAGCTTGCGAAATCTGGGCTGAACGGCAGCACCCAGCTGTCAGGACGCTCCGCTGAGATAGCTCACGCCAACCGATGCTTCTCACGCGTGTTCGCTCCTCACGCTGCTCGTCTCTCCAGCTGCCCCGTGCCCCTCAATTGCCAGAGAGGGACTCTGGGAACCAAACAAAAAAAACGCAGCGGGGCCAGGACAAGCTCCACGACTGGCACGACCCGCCCTTGCCATCGCTCCCCGTGCAACTTTCGGCTTCGTGCGTTTCTTCGTCGCACGATGATTCAAGGTGCTCCTCGATGGTCCTCGCTGGGAAAAAAGCACACGTCCGAGCGATGCCAAGACCAACACGAGCGCGCGGAAGCGCTCCGCTGCGCGCCTGGCGGGCGCGGCCGCTTCGCCAGGCCGCGCGGACCGGGCTGAACGCGCCCGGCCGAGCGATGCGCCCAGCGGCGGCGCCGGGGAGGAGGAGGAGGAGGAGGAGGAGGAGGAGGAGGAGGAGGAGGAGGAGGAGGAGGAGGAGGAGGAGGGGAGGAGGAGGAGGAGGAGGAGGAGGAGGAGGAGGAGGAGGAGGAGGAGGAGGAGAGGAGAGGAGGGAGGAGGAGGAGGGGAGGAGGAGGAGGAGGAGGAGGAGGGAGGCGGGAGGCGGGAGGCTCGCCGACGCTTCGATGTCGCAGCGCAGGGCGAGCGCACGGCGCGGCGTCGCAGATCGAGCACACGAGGCGACGGGGGGCTTGGGAGGCGGCCGCGGAGCAGGGCAAGGGCGCGGAGCGCACGCGCAGGGCCCGAAGACGGGCCTCGGAACAAAAATAGCGAGCACTCCTCCTCCTCCTCCTCCTCCTCCTCCTCCTCCTCCTCCTCTCCTTCTCCTCCTCCTCCTCTTTTTCGTCCTCCTCCTCCTCCTCCTCCTCTTCCTTCTCCATTTGCACTTCACGAGAGCTACAGGCCTCGGAAAAAATAGCGAGCACTCATGCCACATTCATCTGTGAACGCCTCCCCCTCCCCCCAGTGTTCAAAATCGGCGGCGGGTCTGATGAGTTGCACCTCGACCGCAGTCTCCCCCGCGCGTGCCAACCTTGACTCTGGGGTCAGGGGGGGGGTTCACGAATTGTTTCCCTCTACCGGATGGAGCAGGCACCGCCCGTCCCGGCATTCCTCATGGGCCCACAACGAGCTTGCCTTAGGACCAACAGAATGCTCCGATGACAGACCGAAGTTCTCAGAGCATAAGCCCGACGCCTGAGAACAAGACGGCATCAACCAGAAATGTTCTGGGAACAGATCGCGCAGACCACACAGGCTCTCAGACCATTCTGTGGTAGGCCTGTAGGGCAAGCCGGGACGTCTCGCCACTGCTTGAGAAGATGTCCCCCAACACACAGGTCGTCTGGAAGAAGCTGGTAGAGGGATGAAGCAGGCAGCAGGAAAGTGGCTGAGGCAGATTACTCGGCCCGCCTGGGCGATGGACGATTAGAGGAAGCCGTCGGTTCGTGAAGCAGGGAGGCGCTCAGCGTGCATTGGGGTCTGGGAGCCCCGAAAGATTACCTTCCCCGAGCGGCCTGCATGCGGGCAGCTTGAGAACCTTGGGGCATGGCGGCGGGTTCCACCAACAGCTCACATCCATGCGCGTTACTCTCGACAGCGCAATGGAAAACGTCCGTATCACGATGCCGCCGAGGGCAAGATCCCGGCTCCCGGCTCCCGTCGAGGGCCAGGTCAGTCGGCATCGAGTCGGGAAACCGGATCGAATCGGAATGTGCGTCGGATGAGGCTGCATCGGCACAGAATCGGAGCCGGATCGGATCTGCTGTGCCAGGATGCAATATAATGCCATGCAAACATCGGGACGCATCGGGCCGTGGGAATACCGGAATCGAATCGGATCGAGACGGACCAAATAGACATCGAATCGGATCGATCGGATCGAAATGGACCCAGCGAGGTCGACCAACCGCTCGGCTCCTACAAGGCAAGGTCCTCTCTGGAGTGAGCGCCCGTGTTGGTCTCCTCCGGAGGAAGCCCAGAGTCCCATACAGGGGCCCCCGAGGCCCAGAAAGAACCCCGAAGCGCCTTCGCAATCCTCGCTCTCCCTAGATCCTCCTCGATCGTCCTCCTCGATTATCCTCGTGTGTGTAATTATGTGTGCGTGCGTGCGTGCGTGCGTGCGTGCGTGCGTGCGTGCGTGCGTGTGCGTGTGTGTGTGTGTGTGTGGTTGTGTCTGTGTGTCTGTGCGTGTGTGTCTGTGTGTGCTTTGTGGTGTGTGGTGTGTGGTGTGGCGTGTGGTGTGTGGTGTGTGGTGTGTGGTGTGTGTGCGTGTGCGTGTGCGTGTGCGTGTGCGTGTGCGTGTGCGTGTGCGTGTGCGTGTGCGTGTGCGTGTGCGTGTGCGTGTGCGTGTGCATGTGCGTGTGCATGTGCGTGTGCGTGTGACTGGGCGTGTGAGTGTCCGTGTGCGCGTGCGCGTGCGCGTGAACGTGCGCGCGTGTGTGCGTGTGTGCGTGTGCGCGTGTGCGTGTGTGCGCGTGTGCGCGTGCGCGCATGCGCGCGTGCGCGTGTGCGAACGTGCGTGCGTGCGCGTGCGCGTGTTCGCGTGCAAGCGTGCTTGCGTGGGCGTGTGTGTGTGTGTGTGGGTCTGTGTGCGTGTGCGTGTGCGTGTGCGTGTGCGTGTGCGTGTGCGCACGTGTGTGTGTGTGTGTGTCTGTGTGTGTGTGTCTGTGTGTGTGTGTCTTTTGGGGGGCGCTGGAGCGGGGCGCCTTATTGTACTCAACCCAAATATATCAAGGGGGCCGGGCGGTGCAGCGGAGCCCTTTCGCGGGGGACTGGGGGTCCACCACCGCAGCGCTCGAGGCCAGCCTCAGGGCAGGGGCGGGCGCTGTCGGTGCGTCCTCGGGGCGGGGCGGAGCGGATCGCTCATGATGCGGGCAGGGTCGCCCCTTGGCACGTCAAGGGCGGAGAAAGGCTTAGGCCATGGCCTCGCAAGAACGGCTGGCGCATCCTCCGAGTGCGCGGAGGGAGGCCCCTAAGAGAGAGTCGCCGCCAGATGGCGGGAAGCACGCAGGTACAGTCAACCCGTAGAAGAAGGACGCACGATAAGGATGCAAGGGCCTTGGAAGGCCATGTCGACACTTTGCGAGCGGGGCGCGGCCAGCGAAAGCGGCCAAGGATGGGCCGAAGGGGCAAGAATACAAGGGTAGCCTTGGGAAGTTACTCGTCCTTACTATGCGGGTTGACTATACTAGACGAGCGCGTCCCACTACTCGCAAAGTGACTACTCGCAAATGGCCTGGATCCGCCGCGGGGGATCTGCGATAAATTACATCGAAGCAGGCATGTGTTTTTCGGACGTTTGCGAGTAGTCACCTTGCGAGTAGTGGAACGCGCTCGGTGATATACCGCCATCATCGCATGATCTGAGATGATCTGAGCGAGTTGGCTGTGGGGCCAGATCGATGCCTGTGTTCGCATATGTGAGCAGTAAATCGGCCTCCATAACAAAGCCCAACCGTTGAGGGCCTCACATCGGCACACGCAGCAGAGGGCCCGTGGGGACAGCCACCGCCGTTGGCCCGCGGCGGAGCCAGGCCGGACCCAGCGCCAGTGGATGAGGAAGGGGACTTGGGGCTGAAGACGCCCTCGTGGCGCCAGGGTTGTGGCACCCTCAGCGGAGACATCCGACGACAACGACGACGACGACGACGACGACGAGGACGACATCGACGACGACGACCACCTCCTCGCCGCTGCCTTGCCCACGGGAGATCGCCAGTGGCCGCCAGAGTCCGCCAGAGGCCGCCGAGGACCGCCGGAGGCTGGCGACGACGCCGAGGACGAGGCGTGACGCAGCTTGGGAGGCGTCACCTGGTCTGGCTGGCACGAACCAGCTCGCGAGCCGTGGCACCTCGCGGTGCTTGAGCTCGCAGGCGAGAGCGAGGACGAGGGCGAGGAGGAGGAGGAGGGCGAGGAGTACGACGAGGAGGACGAGGACGAGGAGGACGACGAGGGCACGGGGAGGAGGCCCAGGCGCAGGGCGGAGGGCGCTCCTGCTGGAGCGGGGGCGGGGCGTCCTCCCGATCGGCCGCCTCGGAGGGGGGGCGCCAAGGTGCGAAGCGACGACGACGACGACGACGACGACGACGACGCCGACGACGACGACGACGGCGACGACGTCGGCGCCGACGACGACGACGACGGCGACGGCGACGGCGACGCCGCGCCGCCGCCGCCGCCGCTGCCGCTGCCGCCGCCGCCGACGACGACGACGACGACGACGACGACGACGACGACGCCGACGCCGACGCCGACGACGAGGACGGAAGTCCGTCGGGCGCTCTTGGTCCTCCTCGGGCCTCTCTGGGGGGGCCCATGCTCAGGTGATGCTCGAAACGCTGGGGGGGGGGCTTTTTTTCGCCGTTTTCAGGGTCGTCGTTTTTTTGTCCCCCCTTTTGGGGTCCGTTTGTTTGTCCGTTTGGGGGTTCTCGTTCGATCTCGTTCGCGCCGTTTGCAGTTCGGCTCAGTTTTGCAAGCGCTGTTGTCGACACGTGAGTCGCTGCCGCCACCACATGCGGTCTTCACCCTCGGCAGGACCTTAACTGTCGATTCTGGCCACTCGCGCCCCGGTCGGCGAACGTTCACCTGAAGCCAGAGATCACCCGCAGCCGACGCGATGGAAAGCTCCTCCTCGTCCTCGTCCTCGTCCTCGTCGTCCTCGTCATCCTCCTCCTCCTCGTCCTCGTCCTCCTCCTCCTCCTCCTCCTCCTCCTCCTCCTCCTCCTCCTGGATAACCAATTTCGAACCTGGCCCTGCGCGAAGCGCGGTCATCTTCGCGCTCGCGCGCCGCCCATTGGAGAAGAACAGCTAGCTCCGCAGCCCAGTCCGCGAATCGCGAAGTCCGGCATCTCTGCTCCCCCACAGGTGGCCGAAGCACGAGCGGCTCCCGTCGCGGCGGCACGGACGCCGAGCTCTGAAACCACGTGGAAGGCTCGATCTCGAGCCATACCCGGTCTCCGACGGCGGAGGTCGTCCAAGGTCCAGGTCGGCCTGGCTCGGGCCGCCCACGGCCTTCAGGCTTGAGCGCCCGCGCCGGCGTCGCGGCCGCGCCGACGCGGCGCGTCAGCTCTGTGCCGCCTGCCTCCTCTGCGCCGACCGCGGCATTCAGGCAGCCTGCCCCCGCACGGCCGCCGCCGAGAGCGGAGGGCCGCGTCCCGACGGGGGGGGGGCACCCGAAAGCCCCGGCGGCGGATCGGCGCACGTCGACCGGTGCAAATGGTGCAGGCACGGCCTGCACGCGGCCAGCGGGTCCTGGAGCGGCAAAGTCCAGACGGAACAAGCCCAGACGGAGGGCGAGCACTCCGTGAGGGCTCACTCCGTGAGGACTCAGCACCCTCTCCGGAGAGGCTTGGTCCAGACGGAGTACGTCAGCCCAGAGGGGGACCGAGCACTCCGTTCGGACTTACTCCGTACGGAGGTAGCACCCTTCGATGGAGCGAAGGTCGGCGCAGGAGGGCAAACGCGCCGAGAGCACGGCTCGCGGCGCGCAAGGCCGCAGTGGGCGGCTGGGGCCTGAGAGCAGGTAGAAGGAAGGAGGAAAGAACCTGGAGCAGGCGGGAGATGTCGGCCATGGCTGGCGCGCAGAGGCAGGACTGGGCGGGCCAGGGCCCGAGAAAAAAAATGCAGAGGCCAAGCTCCTCCTCCTCCTCCTCCTCCTCCTCCTCCTCCTCCTCCTCCTCTTCCGTTTCATCCTCCTCCTCCGCCTCCTCCTCCTCCTCCTCCTCCTCCTCCTCCTCCCCCTCCTTCTCCTCATCCTTCTCCTCCCTCTCTCTCTCTCTTCTTCTTCTCTCTTTCTCTCTCTTTTTTTTTTCTCTCTCTCTCTCTCTCTCTCTCTCTCTCTCTCTATATATATATATATATATATCAGCGCTGCGCTGCGCTGCGCTGCGCTGCGGAATCGATCCCTATTCGGCGCCCGCGTCGCGGCGCCCGCGCTCGGGCGCCCGCCGCCGCGGCCGCGGAGGCCCTCCGGCACCACCGGAAGACCGGGCTTCCGATTCGGAGGAAGGGAGAGGAAGCCGCCTGACCTTCCTGCATCTCGAGGCGCTTCGGAGAGGAAGGAGCGACGGGATGGGTTGAGCGGCGGGGCCACTCATAGGATGACGTAGCGGTTGCGGATGATGTGCTATCTTGCTTGTGGCGAAATACATTGCGTACCTTGTCGGTAACCCGGTACACGAGGTTGAGCAATAGCCTGTAGCGACGTACGTGGCCTACCTGGTCAGTAACGCTGTAGACGAGGTAGCGTAGTCATCCTCTGAAATGAAAAACCAAATTGTACCCGGAGCGATCCGGCTTAAGGTTAGCCGTTCTGACCATCATCATCGCGAGGTGCCGCACAGAAATCATGTGTAGTTCCTGTAATGCAGTAGGCCGGCCTTTCATACGGCAGCGCGCACTGGCGATGCGCTCTTCGTACTCGTCGTAAGAAGTATGGCCCACCTCGTAGACGGCCTCTATGGTGCGGATCCGCAACTGGAGTTCTCTGTCCCGCTTGTTCCAGCAATTGGCTGCGATGTTGCGTGGACCTCGTGGTGGAAGCTCCTCTGGTGACCGTCGTAGCTCAGCTGGTTGCCCTCGTAGCTCAGGTGGCTCTCGGAACTCGGCTGGTAGCCGTCGCAGCTCCGCTGGTGGCCCTAGTAATTCAGCTGGTGGCCGAGGCAGCTCAGTTTGCAACCCTTGTAGTTCTGATGGTGGCCCTGGTAGATCTGCTGGGGGTCGTCGTACCTCCAGGGGTGGCTCTCGTAGCCCATTTGCTGTCCCTGGTCTGGTGGCTCAGCTGGTGGCCGAAGTAGCCATCGTAGCTGAGCGGTCTGCCCTCGTAGCTCAGCCGGTGGCCCAAGTAGCTCGTGACCCTCGTAGCTATTCTGGTGGTCTTCGTAGCCCCGCAGTTGACCCAGGTAGTTCTGGTGGTGGTACTCGTTGATCGGCGGGTGGCGCTGGTAGCTCAGCTGGTGGCCCTTGTATCTCCGCTGGTGGCTCTCGAAGCTCTTCTGGCAGTCCTCGAGGAGCAGGGGGTGGTTCTCGCAGCTCTGCGGGCCCAGGTGGCTCAGCTGGCGGCCGTAGAAGCTCCGCTCGGTGTCAGTGTAGCTCAGCTCGTGGTCCGCGTAGTTCTGCTGGTGGCCCTTGTGGCTCAGCTGCCTTCTCGAGGCAGCTGCGGAGGGGTGTATCGGCGGACCTGGTGCAAGGCAGCATCTACGTCGTCATGTCCAGGGCCGCGTGGTGGTAGTAGTAGCGCCGTGCCTACTGGTCGAGGTAGCTGTTCCAGCCAGATGGTAGGGAGGCTGGCGCCGGTGGTCCTAGAAGCTCTGCTTGTCGTAGCACAGCCAGTGGTCCTGGTAGCTCTCGTAGTTCGGCTGATAGCTCTCGCAGCACAGCTCTCGCACTTCGGCTGGTAGCTCTCATAGCACAGCCAGTGGTCCGCGAAGCTCTGCTTGGTGGTCCTCGAAGCTCTGCTTGTCGTCCTCGTAGCTCGGCTGGCGGTCCTCGCAGACCTGCTTGTGGTCCTCGAAGCTCTGCGCGTGGTCTTGGAAGCTCAGCCTGTGGTCTTCGTAGCTCTGCGCGTGGCTCGCAAAGCTCAGCTGGTTGCTTCTGAAGCTTAGCTGGTGGCCCTCTAAGCTCCGCCTCTTGCTGTCGTAGCTCTGTTCGTGGCCCTCGGAGTTCTGCTGGTGGCCCTCGAGGCTCAGCTGGTGACCCTCGAAGCTCAGCTGGTGACCCTCGAAGCTCTTCTTTTGGCCGTCGAAGCTCAGCTAATGGCCCTCGCAACTCAGGCGCTGGCTCTTGGGGTTCTGCTTCTTGCCGTCAAAGCTCTGCTGGTGGCCCTCGTAGCTCTACTGGTGGCCCCCGTAGTTCGTCCGAAACCAGCCGTGGCGACGATGGGGCATAGCCCGTAGGGCTAGTTGTGGGGTGCCGACGTGTGTGGAGATACTCATGTCATTTTCTGTTAAGGCCTACGCCCGGGTCTATCTCCGGTTGAGGCGCCCGCGGGGGCAGGGCAAGCGCAGGCTCCCCAGCGGCCAGGAAGTAGTTGAGGAGCACGTCAGCTGGCCCCGATCTCCCGTTCACGTCGTAATCTCCGAGGTCCGAGTCGGAACCGTCGGCTCCCAAGTCATAATGTTCCGCTTTCCGAATGTCACTGCAGTCCTAGAAGCTGCGGCCAATGCAGCCGCAGTCCAGGTAGCCGTCGTAGCCGTCGTAGGATGCGTGGCCGTGGTCCTAGGGTCCCGCGTGGCTCAAGTGGCCATCGCAATTCTGGATGGCAGCGTCGTCCAGGGGCCCGTCTGCGCCAAAGGAGGGTACCTCTATGATCACATACTTGTGGTACGCGGTGTCGCACTTGGTGCAGTGGTTAGTGTCGCACTCGTTGTCGCATCTGGACGCCATCTCGAGGGCGGCCGTGGCAATGAAATTCGGTCGTCGGATCGGGCTTGCATCCCATATGGGACGTTGTGCCCACTCGTTTTTTTTGGCCGCGTCTACTCGAGCCCGTGCTCTTCTATGCGTTTCTGGTTTTGGCATGTTTGCGGGTAGGTCTCCACTAGGGTGGGTGAGTCTCGTATGCTTTCGCTGATGCTGGACAGCAACTGGTGTTTGACGTTGCAATCGCAGTTCATCACCGTCTCCCGGATGACCGGCTGGTGGATGATCAAGTTGTAGTCGCGGTGGGGCGGGTTGTACATCAGGAACAACTGAACGAAAGTTAGAACCTGGGGGAAACGTGAACATGGAGAGGAGGAGGAGGTCGAAAAACAGGCCGTAAAAGTCGAACATCGGGACGAAGTCGCTCGGATGCCCTAGGCTCCTCGGTTCCTCATGGTACGCGCGCCGCCCGCCCCCGATGGAGCGGCGGCGCGCTGAGGCGGGCCCCCTCGAGGGCGGCCGCGCGGGCGGGGTGCGGCGCTGGAGGCCCCCCGTCGGACGCGCCCCGATGGCGAGGCGCGGACTTGGGCCCGCCGCCGGGCCACAGACAGTCGAACAACAGCTGACTACCTACCAGACCACCCCAACCCAACCCGAAGACCCAAATTTGACCCGAATTTCGGGTTGGGGGGGGTACGGATACCATGTGTTTTTTCAACGTTCCCCGACCCCCCCCCACTGGAAATCGAGGATAAATTTGGGCCTTCGGGTTGGGTTGGGGTGGTTTGGTGGGTGGTGAACAGCGCAGAGATGTCTAGTCTGTTGTCAGCACTGCAGTGCACGAGAGGCGAGGTGGAATCTTGGACTGACAGTGGCATCTTGTTCAAAGGACGTGCGAGAGGCAGACACTTGCGGCCCTCGGGCTGGTCTGTGAACGGTGACCTGTGGGAAGCTCTGGGATGCGCACTTGAGGAGAGAGGCCCGCAGGTTGTCTTTGTTAAGTTTCTCGATAGCCACTTGGCCCCCGAGGCAGCCCCAGCCCGCGGGGTCCCTTCTAAGCCATGGCTTGGGAACCAGATAGCTGATGAGATGGTGGCAGAGGCCGCTGCCCTGCACTCCCTGCCAAAAAACCAGCTTGATTGCTAGAAGTGGGCCAGCTCGGTGCTGTCGTTGATCCGTCTTAGAATAGCGCGAGCTACGCTCTTTGCATTCCAGACCGAGGAGCGACCGGCCCCGACCGTGCGTGAGGAAGCGAGGCACCTGCCCAGGCTGAGGCCGTCCGCTCTCAGCAGAGCCCAATCGGCCACCTCCCACTGTTTGAAGCAGGACGGTCGGGCCCGATGGGCGTGTTCGGTTTGCTTCAGCAGCGTCAGCACGGTCTCGAGAATGATGCAGAATTGGTTGAGTACCGAGTGTCCTGGCCCACCCCCGCCCCAGCCAACCACCCGCTCGTGTGTCGCTGTCGGCTCCCGCGTCGTCCATTGGACCCATGCGATGACGTTTTACGAGCCATGTTGGGTGTGCACGAAGTGCGGCTGCAGGGCTAAGGAGAAGGTAGGCCAGATAAGGGACTTCGGGAAAGAGTGTAAGTGTGTGCGGGGTGAGCCCCCCGCTAAGATGGGTCGGTGGGTCCTCCAGCGGCAACTCGGAAGGCAGGCCTCTCAAGTGAGCCCAGCCTTTTCAGAGGCGTTCCCGACGGCGTCGGCTTGGGGCAATCCTTGGGTGATCCTCCTCCCCCGCCCGTTCGTCCGCCCCCTCCTCCTCCTCCTCCTCCTCCTCCTCCTCCTCCTCCTCCTCCGTCCCTTTCGAAAATTCCTCACTCATGTCGCACCCCGAGACGTGGCGGTGGAGCGGGCCGGGTCTTCCGCACGAGACCTCCTCACTGCCTGTGATCCTCAAGCCGAAAAAACGTCAACAGCTTCACGGGCGGAAGGCGGGTGGTCTTCAAAAAACGCGGCTCTCGCCACGGCGCCGCCCTCATTCGTCGTAAACGTCTGCAGGAGCTCCACGGATGCGGGGCGGGTCGCTTCCAAGACGTGGCTTCACCTCAGCTCCGCGCACGTTCGCTTGGAGTGCGGTGCTGCTTCAGAATCTGGCCACCGCCTTGGCACCGCACACACTCGTCATAGTCATAAGGGCTCACAGCAATCTTAAGGATTCTCCCGGCGGACATCCCAGACGTCGTGTTTTGGCACGACGTGGAACTGTCAGGGCGCAAAAGTTGCGTTGATTCGCTGTGCTATTGAAGTCCAAGGAACGGTGTTCTGGCAAGACTCAGGATCGTCAGGACCTAACAGCCACGTTGACTCGCGCGTTGAAGTCCAAAGAGCCATGTTCTCGCACGGTTCAGGACGTTCAAACGCTTGTCTACCAACGGGGCGCTTCCCTCAGTGAAGATGAACCTTTGTAGGGGCTTATGAAAATTGAGCTTGGAGGGAAGGTTTATTGCAACATCGTTGATGAGTCATGGGTTTACACTCCTCCTCCTCCTCCTCCTCCTCGACCTCCTCCTCCTCCTCCTCCTCCTCCTCCTCCTCCTCCTCCTCCTCTTCCTCATCTTCCCCATCATCTAGGGCTCCCAACTTCGCGCTTCGCGCTCCGCGAAGCGCGAGGCGCGAATAACTTCGCGCTCTCGCGCCGCCCCCCCAAAGGGAGAAAAGGAGGACGAGGAGGAAGGGGAGAAGGAACGAGGACCGCGAAGCGCGAAGCGCGAATAACTTCGCGCCCTCGTGGGAGCCCTTGATCATCCTTTTCCTCCCCTCCTCCTGGTCATGCCCCCCTCCCCCTGCTTCGGGGCCCCAAAAAGGTGTGGTTAACGGACCGCGTGTTGACCTCGGCATCTCCAACGACCTCACCGCGCGGTCCGTCCCCGCAAGGCTTTGGGACGTCGGAGGCCCCAGCCGCTCGAGACATCCTCGGAGAACGACCCGCGTTCCATACGGCACGGTGACCCCGAAGCCCCACTGGCTTAGGAACCGCGCGGTGTGCTCACCACACCGTTTGGGGGTCCCCGACCTGTGCGAGCTGGAGATGTCTGGGTCCGGCGCCCGCCTTGGCGCCGGTGTGCCGCTGCAGCCGCGCCAACCTCGAGCTCTTCCGGGAGACGTCCGCGGCGCCGTCCGCCTCTGCCGGGGGGCACGGCCCGGCGACTGGCTGGCCGGTGCCGGGGCGAGGGAAATGACGGCGGGGTGCAGAATGCGGAAGGAGTGGGTTTGGACTGCGCTCGAACCGTGTTGGACTCGGACATGGAGAGCGCCCTCACCGGGGGCTGCCTCACAAGGTGCCCCCGGCACACGGTGCCCCCAGCTTCTCGCGCCATTCCTGAGCTCCTGGGGCCCGCTGGGCCTCGTGCGGGGTGCTCTGGAGCACGTGGGGGCCTCCCTGGCCCAGGGGTACCCTGGGCCAGAGGCACTCCGGGCATCACCCGACCTTTCTCCATCGGCGGGTTGACCCAGCGCTGACAACACAGACCGCAGACGGGAGGGAAGAGAAAGAGCCGCGACAGCGAGAAGCTCTCCAAGCAGAACGGTGCCTGAAAGGGTCAAACTGAGTGGACCGAGCCGCTCGTAGAGATCGGGCGACCGCCCGACCTGTAGAAGGCGTAGAGGAGCAGGAGGAAGAGGAAGAGGAGGAGGAGGAGGAGGAGGAGGAGGAGGAGGAGGAGGACACATCCTTACGGGAAGCCAGCCGATGCTCTGAGAGCAGCGTCACAGGCGGCGGGCGCACGCCTGCGAAGGCGGATGGGGTGGAGGAAAATGGTGAGGGAGAGCAACAATCGTGCTCGTTGCTCTTACAGTGGGTCTCCTCACCACACCAGCGAGCAACAATTTTGAGGGGAAGAGAGGACAGGTGACATTTGCACGGGAACGTAGGTGCAACAAGAACCGGGCGTGGGTGCACGACTGAGTAAGTGCATGAGTAGGAACAGATACAATAATTGGAGTCGGACCAGGAGTGGAACCAAAGGGTGGTAGTTGTTGTGGCTGTTGGCACCTTCCTTTACTGGACTTACCAAACAGCCCTCGTCGCCGGTGTCGACGAAAGAGACGACGACGGCGAAGGCAACCATGATGGAGACAACGACTGCGATGACAACGAAAAGCCCAACGATGAAGGCCGATCGTAGAACCTCACGGATGGGACTCCGAGTGCCCTCGTTCTGTATGTCATTCCACGTTGGCGCTCACGCCGTCCGCCGACGAGGACGAAGATGGCGACGACGACGGCGGCCACGACGACGACGACGACGGCGACGGCGAGGACGGCGACGAGGCGCTGCCAACGTCGACAAGCGACGGTGGTGGTGGCAGCGGCTGCGGGCGGCGGCCACGAGGCTCTGACCAAGCGAGCGCCCTCCTGGGCAAGCCGACGGGCCCGGGAAACTCGGGGCCCCTGGGCGGCAGCGCACGCACCCTTCGTCATCACGCCACGGGAGGCGGGGACACGCGCAGCAGCAAGCGCGCACGCAGAATCGCAGACACCTGCCCACAAAAGTCCTGGCGTTTCTGTCGGCCGCCGGGACCGACACCGATCGCACACAATCGGCAATTGGGCGGCACATCGACAGAGACGCCGGGCCTCCAGCAGCTGCTCCACCCTGGGGGGGTCAGGGAGGTCGGCGGCACACGTGCTCCCGAATTTCTTACAGCAAGACCCGTCGTGATTGACGTGCCTGCGCGTGGGGTCGAATGCTCCACGTCGGCAGCGTGCGAAAGGGGCGGCCACGGGAGCACCGAGGGCTTCTGGCCCCTCGTGGAGGTCTCCAGATCTGGCCCGAAACGGGCGCGCCTCCCCCCAAAAGCGCCAGCGCCAGCATCAAAGATGCCGGAGATGCGCCGACCTTTCCGCCAGCGCCCCCCCCTCCTCCACGTCGTTCATTTCTAATCGTGCTCACTTCTAAGTGTGCTCGTTTCTAATTGTTCCTGGCCCCCTAGTGGCCAGGAAGAGGCCCAGGATAGCACAATTAAAAATGAAAGGATCCTGGCCCCCCAGGAATCCAGGAACTTTCGAATAATCAGACATGAACAACGCGTATGCTCTGGCGAGTCTGAGGCCCGAAGGCTCGCGGGCGGCGTGCGCAGGGGAGCGGGACGCGTCTGCAGCCTCCGAGCGTTTCTCGGGAGCCCCCCCGCCCTTCCACCCCGTTCTCTGGCACGACGCGCGCCTCTCAGCCCGCGCGGGGCCTCGCGCTCATAGCCGCCCCAGGATTGAGAGCGAACAGGAGGAGGAGGAGGAGGAGGAGGAGGAGGAGGAGGAGGAGGAGGAGGAGGAAGAGGAGGACGAGGAGGAGGACGAGGAGGAGACGATTAGGAGATGAGTAACACCCAGGCGGCACATCTCACTGGTATGCAGCTGGCGGCAAAGGCAGAAAGTTACTCCTGACGGCGCTATCTGAACCTCTCGTGCCTGAGAGCACAGGGGGGTCCGTCAGGCCATGTGGCCTTACCATTCTTAGGCGGGGCCTCTCAGCGCTGGATCTTATCTAGGGCCTCTTTACCAGCACGGGTGGGGCGCCAATTACAAACATCCGCAATGCCAGCCCCCACCCTACCACCAGCTGGCGTCTTGGACCCCAGGCACTCACACCTCCAGCAAACAATCTGGCCATACATAATACATGAGTTATGTGACTCATGTGCCTCCTTCGCCCCGATACCGAACCTGGGGGGGGAACCAGACAGGTCTACCTTGAGACCCTACTCTATGGAATTGGGGCCCCGGGCATTTGCCTTGGCGAAGCCAATCCATCACCGAAGACACTCCAGCAATGGCAACACACCCAGGAGGGACCTATCCTAGACAGCTGGTGTCCCGAGGCAATCTCCAGGACACGCCGCTTGCGCCAGGCCGCACGCACGCGGACCTTGCGCGGGAAACCTTTGCGCTCGCACTCGGAACTCACAGCCGCCGCATTGACCGCCGCCAGTCTACGCTGGACACGTCACGCTTTGAATTCAGCTCTCTCGAGGTCTCTGACCTCGGCATCCATATCTCTTGAAATCTGTTCCACTCCTACCTGTGCAAATTTGTCCGCAAGCCCATGGCCTCTGGTCACGAGGGGGGGCTGGACCGGGGTGGCACGGAAAATCCGATCAAGGTGCGAATTACATTGCCTGGGCATCACATGCCGACACCGAGACTCAGAACTGATCCAGTCCACCACCCTTTCAGAGGTCCAGAGGTGCCCGAGAAACTACGCCAACCATCTTAGACGATCTGGCTGTCCGTATAGAACGATATGGAACCCTTCGTCAGCTTCAACGCCCACCAGAGGGCCGCCAGCTCGGCACAAGAGACCGCCTGGGCCCCATCGAATCCCCCGCAGGCCCCAAGACGAGGGGTCTCAGGGTCGTTTTCCTTCACTCGCTGCGCAGACTGCGCGAAGTTGACACCCCTGCATGCCCGCGCTGCACGCGCGCCGCTGTTTGAGGCGGAGCCGCCCAGGAAGGGCAACTAGCGCTCGATGCGCTCGTGGCTGTTGGCGGCGCCGTCGGGCAGCGCGGCGGGTCCATCCCAGCCAAAGTAGAGAGGGTAACAAGGTGTGTCCCATGTCAGAAGCGTCGGCAAGGAATTCCAGGCACGGGGAACTAGACCGCTTTCCCGCAACTCCAACTTTGCACCGTTGGTGATGTCGCGTGGCGCTTCTTCTCTGAATGTGTCGCCCTGCTGCGTTTACGGGTGATCCATCGCGATGTTGCGGGAGCAGCTTCGAGCTCTGTGGGCCACGTTATCCTCTTCGTTCGCCTGGCACCCTGTGCATAATCCGCCGCGCGTGTAGCCCGCGCTGTAGCACCTCGCTTCTGTCCATATGGCGACGCGCACTACTCCAGAGCGCCTGCTTCTCGATGGCAGCGGGCCCGTCGCATCCGTTTTAGGGTTCGTGCCGCTGCTGTGGCATCTGGCGTTGAGCTTCATTCGCCTCCCAAGTTGCCCCTGGCCGCCTGCTGCCAGAGCTCCTGGATCACAACGGATGCGACCGCTGCCATCAACTCCGCGGTGGCGTCTGCTGGCTGGTCGTGCTGGTCCTGAAACCCCGCCTGCCCATTCAGTTGGGTTCCCGACAAAGCTCGCGGGGCCAGCCCTCCAGGCTGGGCATATCCTGCTGCAGGTGCCCTCCGACCCCGTCGAAACCGCGGTCACAGGGCGCGCGTGCTCCCGCGGCGAGAGAGACCATGACGCCCGCGACGTTGAACACATCTCCTCAGCCGCGTCCTCTACATCCTCGAATGGGTCTCGCCACCCACGCTGGAAGCTACTGGTGGTCGCACCGCATGTTGGCGATGCACTGGATATTCGAATCTCTTGGGGAGCTGGTGATGATCTCCCCCTATCGTGCCTTGCCGCGTTGGGGGTGGAGGTTCTGGCGTGGGCGCCGTCGCCGGCGAGGCGACGATGCGGACATTCCCCATGCATTGCCGCGTGTATACGTGAATATGCCCACTGGTCGGGCTCGCTGGGCTGCCGCCCCAGTTCTGTAAAGCCTTGGATCTGCCATCGGTCCAGCAATCGCATTCCAGCGCCCCCTTGGACGCGTCGGACACAACCGCTGCACATCAGCAAGCCATCCCGCTCGGAACTTGCCATGATCATCTGTGACTCGAATCCGCATTTGGATTATTTCAATAATCTGCCGCATTAGCCCAGCCGCATTCGGATCTCTCTCCATGGCATGTACAGATACCGCCATTGATGCGCTCCGTCCTCCCGCGGCATAACCCAGCGCGCCCGCTGCTTCAGCCTGCGCGCGGTGCACTGCAGAAGGGGGGGGGGGGGCACTGCGAGAACATCGTAGCTTGCCTCGGCCCTGACATTGACCATGTTCACCGCGGCCAGCCAGCGCCCGCGCAGTCCAGCGCCCTGGGAAGCTCAAGCTCGCCTGATTCGTGCCCGCGTTGCGTCGTCGCGCCTTGGCCGTGCCTGCGCGCCGAGGTCGTCCTCTTGCCGCGTCAATGCCAAGGCCCTCGACGTACGCCGCCACCGAAACTGCAGTCCCAACTTCGCCCGCTGCCCTTGCGACAGCTTTCTCATGCTCTTGCTGGGGCGGGAAGCCATGGCCGCTGACTTCTGAAACATGTCCAACTTGCTGGCCCGAAACCCTCCGATAAGCTCCACTGCCGCGTGCGCGAGGTCGCTCTTGACCTTGTCGCACGCGCCGCCCGCCCCCGGCGTGACATCGCGACGCATTGCCGGGGGGGGCCCGGGGGGCCCGATGATGAGCTCGCCCCAGCACCGCTCGCCAGAATGCCCTGGCTCCGTCGTTGGCACTGTTGCACCATAGTGCGATGCTGCCGCTGTAGCATCGCTGTTGCGAAAGCTCCGGCCGCGCGCGCAGCTCCAGGCGCCAAGTACGTCACGCAATTCAAATGCAGTTCCACTAGTGGGAGGTCCAATGCCAAGGCCCACCCTATCACGAGCGGGATGCTGGTGAAGCCCTAGAACTTCTTTATCTGTAGGTAGATGGAGCCCCACGCCTGCGCGCCGTCTCTGGCGCCACTCCCATCAAGGGCCACGCTGAACAACGCCGCGTGTAACGCTGAGGCCTTGGCCACGGCTGCATCCCATCCTATCAGGCTGGCGCACTCGCCCCCGTAATCGCATCAGTAGTGGCATCGGCCCGATGGGTCCGTCGTGCCCCACCTTCGCGCGGCCGCCCTAGCGCAATAGTTCGCGCCAGCAGTGTAGCCATTAATGTGGCCGCGCCAGGTTATGCTCGCGCACCTTGATTAGTTCCGCCGGCTCTTGCTTCGCTTTGTTTGCCATGGCCTGGATGCGCTGGGCTCTCTGCGCATCTGAGACTTGGCCCGATGAGATTGGCGTCGCTCGTAGCGCTCCTTCGAGCTGCTCAACTGATAGGGGCTCGCGCCCCAACCCTCGTTTTTGGCGAGGTCTCGGGGCCCCCGCATCTAACGTGCACGCTCCTCATCGTGATTCGCCCATCTCGCTTGCCACTGCTTCGCCCGCGCCCACGCCGCGCCCTGAGGGTTTGAAAATGACTCCGCGTCCGCCAAGGTTCAGGCGCGCCCCTGGGAGCGCTATCGACTCGGGTTCCTGCAGTATTCGCGCGCGCCCTTCACGTTGCCGTGCAGGGCTTTCTTGGCTCACTTGCGCAAGCTTTGCTCCGCCCCTGCCGCGCCCGTTTGCCGTGTCTTTCTGCGCGCAGGCAGACTTCCCAGGCCATTTCCCCGCGCCATTCACGACGCAGGCCTGTCTCCACGCATCCTTTCGACGCCACTAGGCGCTGGAGGCATGGGGGCGGCGGGCGACCCGAGCCCCCCGCATGTTCAAGTTGCCCATGCACGCTGGCGCGCAGCTGCTGCTGCCGCTCATTCTTGGCCGAGGCCCCTCACTGCCGCAGTGATGATCCCAATTCAACCCAGGAGCCATGCCAGGCGTGCTCAGGATCCACCCAGCGTTGTGGCAGACGTCTAATAGATGGCAATGTGCGGCATCAGGCTGGAAGTCCGCGGACGCCCTTGGTCCTGCCCTCACTGCCACAAAGAGTTGTCAGTGAATGACATGCTGCCTGTGCCGACATCATGCATTGATCCCCGAGCCTCTCGCTTGCCTTCCGGGTCAGCTGGTGCGCCGTGCTTTGTTGTGTGAGGCCATCAGGGTCAGGGGGTTCGCGCGCTTCTGCTTGCCGTCGTATATCTCGCCATCCATCGTCCGAGACTGTCGCTGGGATCTGCTTCGGGCACGCGTCGCTGAGGAGGCCATCAATCTCTTGGCGCCCAGCCTGGAGTGCCAATTTCTCGTCCGTGAGCCTGTCATCCTGCTCCTCACTACTGGCGTCTATTATGTTCTTGATGAAACGCGCATGCTGCCCTCAATTCCGTCGTTTGCGCTGCAGGCCCCTTTCCAAGTGCGCAGCGAGATTAGGGGGCTCGATGAGGCTCCGCGCGAACTGCAGACAGCACTTTGATCGCAGCTGGGCGCCTGCGGCAATCTCGATGTGCAACCCGACGCGCGGTCGCCAGGGCACCTTCGCAACTGCTGCGGCTCCTCCCAATAAAGGCCGAACAGCTGGCGGGCACAACGAAGTCATGCACTCGTCCGCGCCCGCTGGAACACGTAGCACCCACTCCTTCTGGTGCCGCGGCGTGGGCCTCGAGCTTCCTGCCCCAGGGTGATTGTGCATATTATTTTGGAGAGCGCCCAACCTCCCACGGCCATCCATGGGTTGGAACTAATAAACACGAACTGAGCTACCTTCTGCATCTTCTTCGCGCTGGCGCCCGACAAGCCAAGGCCACTGTTCAAGTGCACGACGAAGAGTGATGCGCATTTTACCTTTCAGGCCCCAGCGCATTACCGCAATGTCATTCAGCTCCTTCTCGAAAGCGCTGGTCCCCGCGACGGTGGGCAAATGCGCAGAAGCCGGTAGGTGAGATCATCGCAGCCAACACGCTCTCCCATGGTTCCACCTGCGGGACGTCCAGCACGCGTAACCGCTGTCCATATGTGCGTTGCGAGTGCCATCCGTGACCTCTGGGCCTCTCGAGCGCATTCGCAGCGGTGAGGTGATGCTCCACCAGCCCCACCCTGTCGTACTTCGACTGCTTGATGAAATGGCGCGCAGCAGCGTTGTACAACCTACACATGTCCTCAGGAGGGTCTGGGAACACCCACTCTGGATTTTGGAATCGTTCTTGTGGTCTCCTGCTGCTAAAACTCCTCCGCTGGTTCCTCAGCAGCTGCAAGCTGCCTGGCTCGATCCCGACTGCGCTGGTTTTGCGCCAGGTACTTGTCCACGTGCTCTGGCTTCGTGAAATCAAAGCCTCCTGCCGGGATCTCCTCCGCTGGCTGCGTCTGCGACGAGGCCGCCCCTGCTGCACTGTCTGCCACCTGCGCTGCTCCTACGACTCATCCTCCTGTGGCATGGCGACGCTTGGGCTCCTGAGCTTGGTCGGCGAACGTGCGGAGGTTCTCGGCTGCCTCCTTCCTCGCCGTCGATGCTGGATTCCCGTTGCCGCTGCACGTGCGGCATGGTTTTGTTGCTTGCCTTCTTCTCCGAGAAACTCAAAACCTTCTTGTGATAGCTTTGGGGAGGTCTGACCGTTTGGTGCTTCCGCTGTTGGAGTTGGGCCCTTGAAGCTAGCCTTCTCCCTGCACTTGTCCACATTATGCTGGGCCTCCTTCTCGGCGGCCATGTTATATGCCAGATTCGCCAAGATATCTGTCTGCTCATCCGCAACGGAGGCGCTTCCGTAGTTTCTCACTCGTCTGTGACCATGCAGAACTCTTGCGCCGATGCCTCCAGCTCCTCGAAGGGTCTGGTTTCGGGTGGTGGCTTTGGTTCTGGCTGCCGAAGCTGAGGACATGCTTGCTCCAGTAGGGCCAACTGCTCCTTGTCGTTGCTGTCCTTGGCTTGCTTGTAGGGGTCGGTGAGCAGAGTGACCTGGGCCTGTGAATCGGGGATGTCCTCGGTGGTCTGAATGTGTTTCCACATGGTGCCGCACTCGGTACACTTGCCCTTCTGTGCTGCGATCGCAATAGATCCAACTGCTGCCAAAAGGAGCACGAACACTGCTCACCAAATCTTATATGCTTTCCCCGCCCTGGTCATGTATCTTCGACTTTGAGCTGGACCGTGCCCGACTCGCAGCACGGCATCCGTTCGTCCAAGGCGGGAGGTCTCCTCCCATCCTTGACACGTCTGAGAGGGGCCCCAGGACACACAAATAAATACACACAAATAAAAATATTCCCCATATGTTCCCATACATTCTGGGTTTTTGTCTTCCCCCCCACTTCCCATATTTTCCCATTTTTGCATGGGAATCGACGATTAATTGTGTCTGTGTTTCTTCCCCTCCTGAACGTCGTGGTCTGCTGCGACTTCCGCCGCACCTGTCAGGTGCGCCCCTCGAGCCACGGGCACGCCTCGCAGCCTGCTGTGCTGGGCAGGCGCGGCCGTGCGGCACGCGCGCAGCAGCGGGCTCGGCCGAAAGCATCCTGCCATCTTTCGAGCCCAAGTTGCTTGAGAGGAGGAGGAGGAGGAGGAGGAGGAGGAGGAGGAGGAGGAGGAGGAGGAGGAGCAGGGGGAGGACAAGGAGAGAGAGAGAGAGAGAGAGAGAGAGAGGACGAGGACGAGGAGGAGAAAGGAGGGGCACCAGCGTGGCGATGCGGGGACGCGACTCGTCGTGACAAAACGGGCCCCCATGGGCCCTGAGGCTTTCCCCCGGACGGGTGGCTCCCATCCCGTGCCGTCCTCCGACGCTCCCGCACGCACACGCGCACGCACGCACACGCGAAGCCACGCATCCATAGGGACGCGCAGGCAGAGAAAGGGGTGCACAGTGGCCACTCTCCGAGAAGGGCGGCCGGGAACACGCACCTGGAGCGTGCAAGGGCGCCGAGAAACGAAGGAGAGGGAAGAGGATGGACAATCCCACGTATGCACGGCCCCTCCGGGGCGGGCCGGGGCCCGCCCTGGCGGCCCCGCTGCCCGGCTGCCAGCGCTCCCCTGCCGGGCCCGCCGGGCCCCGGGCCGCCTCCTCCGCGCTCCGGAGCAGGGCCGCGAACTCGTGCAGCTCCACCTGGCGGGTGCGCAGCCCTGCCGCCGATCATTCCTAGCTCATGCTGCGACGGAGGCTGCGTGGGTACAGACCTCGGCTGGCCCCGGACCTGGCCTGGCTCTGGGCCCAGCTGGGCAGCGAAGGCGAAGCATCGCTGACTTCGCTGCAAATTCATCACACTTGCAGCAACAGCACATACTCTATATCAGAAACTACGCGGGCGGCGGAGACATCAACTGAAGCAGTAACTGACGTATCAAAAAAAAAGCGGCGGAGAGGCAAACAGCGAATGCAAATCAGCTGGAACTCCCCGTAAACACTTGGCGGCGAGTCGTCGTGTAGCCAGTGCGGAATTATTATGGCGGGCTGAATGCTGCAACCACTTGAATAAAACTACAGCAAATAAACAAAACATTCGGAACTCATGTAATCATAGTGATACTGAGCACAGAATAGAAAACGAACAAACGGACGGGACGTCAACACGAAAAGCAAGAAGTTCAGATTTTCCCGCGTAAAGCGAGAATGCAAATCATATTTCTCTCAAAGGAGAGCTTTTTGAGTTCCCTTGAAGAGCATGCCGTGCAACGCGACTCTCCAGAGAAAGATTTGCAATTCTATGAAAGGGCGTGCCGCGTGAAGCGAGATGGCGATACTTTCCGATACCCAACCTAGCGACACATTTCAACCCGCCCGCGGGCGCAACCGTAACCGTAACTAGGCGACAACATAATGGCGGCGGGCTCATCGGCCAAAATCAATTCAAAACGACGGCAGCGGGGGAGACGGGCGCACAGTCAGTATTGCGGTGAGCACCAAAGAAACCGTAGTGATGCAATTCGGATCGGTCCCCAGCGATCCGGATCAGAAAAAGTCGGATCGGCAAGATAAGCCAGACCGATGGGGTTGCAGATTCGATTGCCTATTGATCGGGGTCGAACGGGATCGATCGAAGCGAAGCGGGTCCTGCAAAGGGATGGCCTTACGCACGGCGGCACGGCGAGCTGACACGGCGGCTTGCCCAAGGCCACTTGGGCGGGCACGCCGCGCGGAAGAGGAGAGGGCGCCCCCGCGCGAGACCTCACGCGGGCAGACGGGGCGCCAACGACCACGCAGGTCGACACGGCTCGCGCGGCCACGGGCCAGGCTCGCCGCGCCAGACTCGAAGTGGGGCCGCGCCAGATATCCTTGCTGCCTTCCAGTCCTGGGGGGGGGCCTCCGCGGCCAGGCCCTCTGTGCCGCTGGCCGCGGGGCGGCGGGCCGCGGCCACCTCGCCGCTGCCGTCCCGGTCGAAGCGGCCGAAGATCGCGTGCACCTCCGCAAAGGAGAGGTCCTGAGGCCGCGCCCCTGCCCCCCGCCCCCCCGGGCCCGCAGGGCCCTCCGGGCGCCCCCCTCCCCGTCGCTCGGACGTCCATTCCCTGCGCTTCTCTCGGCTTCGTGCGTGGGGCTCTTCCGCAGGAGGACCCGGCACACGGCTCGCGAGCGATGCCAGAGGCCCGGCCCTCAGGCAGAGGCCTCCTCGCGTTGCGGTGTACTCGTGCAGCCCACTCTCCCGGGCCACCCAGCTGCGCGCCCCGCGGGGCGCGGCACGGTGCGCGGCACGCGCGGCCACATATCTTCGCGCCCCCGCGCCGCCTCCCCGGGAGGAGGGCGCCAGCTCTCTGGCGGCAGCTGGCCCAGGCCGCGAAACTCGCGGAGCGCGAGGAGCTTCGCGCCCCCGCGGGCGATCTGGATGTCGGCCTCCGGAGGCCACGGTCCCTTGGGCCCCTGGGGCGATCCCCCCAGAACGAGGAGGAGGAGGAGGAGGAGGAGGAGGAGGAGGAGGAGGAGGAGGAGGAGGAGGAGGAGAGAGGAGGAGGAGGGTGACCAGAGGAGGAGGAGGAGGAGGAGGAGGAGGAGGAGGAGGAGGAGGAGGAAGAGGAGGGGGAGGAGGAGGATGTGGGGAAGGATGGTGTTGGCAGTCGTCTTAGGCAGTATGTGTTGAATGGATTGTTTGCGTCGTGCTGAAGCGAGCAGGAGCAGCGCAAGGGATGGGGCTCGAGAGCTCCGTGGGCCCACGGACAAACAATTCGCGCCCGTCGGGAGCCGGGGAGGAGAGAGAGGGGAGAGGGATGATCAAGCAGGATCGGCGAGAGAAGCACCAAAGAAGATCCACGAACGCCGCTCGTGGTCGCCGTATCCTCTGCGAAGGTCGACCACGATCCCGCCTAGCTTTCCCCAGTGGTAGGGCCTGGGCTTCGCGCAGATCTCGGCTGCCTCCAGTCATCGTGCCACCATAAGAAACAAGAAGCGCTGAATCAGGAACGCAGGTGCTTTGCTGAGCGCCTCCAGGCTCGGCCAGGAATAGGTTCCCCCGACCAAAATCTTGGGAGCGGCCGAAACCAGAGCCTGTCCTGAACCCGAAGCGGTCCTTATTTCAGCCTCTTGACTGGAGCGTGTGGTCCTTGCTGGCCCCAACAAGCCCCCACGGTTATGTTGCTCCCATCGTACTCGGAAAAGTGTCGAAACAGTGTCGAAACAGTGTCGAACGAGTGTCTCCCAGGGCCCGACGCGTGAAAATCCTAGAGTTTCGGTACTTTTTTGGGGGCTCGAGATTCTTTTCTGGTGATCAAGGCTAAAATAGGTTGGAACATCATAGCCCCACGGCCGACCAGGGTTGCTTCAACACCCCCACCACCCGCGGCCACGTCCCAAAAACGGTTTCAAGTGCCCTCCGAGCCCTCCAAGGACCCCCCAAGAGGCAACAATGGCTCCAAAACCGAAAGCAAATGCATGATGTTTGCCGTCTCGCCGTTTCGCTTCAGATGGGCCTCGGACGCCTCAAGATGGCCCCGCGACGGCCCAAGAGAGCCCCAAGAGGAGCCCAAGAGGGCCCCAAGAGGAGCCGATCGAGGCCAGCCAGCAATCATACCCCCTGCGGCTGCCTGTGCGCAGTGCCCACAGCCTTGCCAGGCACGAGGGCGAGCCACCACGAGACACTGCAGCGCCGCCGGGTGGGAGCGGCCCCAACGTGCGTCCGAATGCCTCCCATAATCTTTGGGTGGAGGAGGGGGGGGGGAGGAGGAGGAGGAGGTAGGAGGAGGAGGAGGAGGAGGGCGGAGGAGGAGGAGGGAGGAGGAGGAGGAGGAGGAGGAGGAGGGAGGAGGAGGAGGAGCTGAGGAGGGGAGGAGGAAGGAGGAGGAGGAGAGGAGGAGGAGGAGGAGGAGGAGGGGGGGGGAGGAGAGAGGAGGAGGAAGAGGAGGGAGGGGAGGAGGAGGAGGAGGAGGAGGAGGAGGAGGAGGAGGAGGAGGAGGAGGAGGAGAGAGGAGGGGGAGGAGGAGAGGAGGAGGAGGAGGAGGAGGGGAGGAGGAGGAGAGCAGGTTCGAATCAGTCATGCCATTCCAGTTTTTCTTGAACCTGATTTCTGTTGCAATCCTTGGTGCGTCGAGGCGGCACGGATCCAGGGACATACCTGAGCGGGGGCGCGTCGGCGCCCTGAAAACATTGATACCACCCGTGTGGTGGCAGGGCGAGGTGAGCAGGACTATCCGCGTTAGCGGTTATATAAGATGCAGCAATCAGCACAAAGCTGATTGGTTTCCCAGCAAGGGGGCTTGGGATTCCAAAAAAGAGTAAGGGCGGTGGTGGGGCTGCTGGACGGCGAGAGGAAAAGCTGCAAGCGAAAACCCTCACTCACTTCCTGAATCCCATGCTAAAGCAAACCCATCAGTCATGCCATTCCAGTTTTTCTTGAACCTGATTTCTGTTGCAATCCTTGGTGCGTCGAGGCGGCACGGATCCAGGGACATACCTGAGCGGGGGCGCGTCGGCGCCCTGAAAAACATTGATACCACCCCAAATACGCAAAACTCGTTAGCGGTTCGAGGTACTCCAGCTCAGTCTAGCTTTCGCCCAAGGCACCACCGAAATACCGGAACAGCAGGCGGCCCCCAGTACTCTAGCAAACCCATTGTCGATGAAGATTTTGGCCAGGCAGGACCCAAATCGATAGGGATAAGCGGCCGCACGCTTGGTCCAACGGACCCCCAGAGGGTCCCCTCCAGTCAACACGATGTGGGGCTGCTTGGAGTACTCAAAAGGCTTAGTTCCGTAGCTACCACACTTGAAAATCATGTTCTCGATTCCTATCAGTCCAGCGCACCAGAGGGTCGTGGGTTTTTTCCATCTGGCCCCAAAACCACACATGTGAGTCACTACGTTCTCGACGCTGAGGCCTCGACAGAGGCCTTGAAACTCGGGGGTGGACCAGATCAGGCTCGTCTGCGGGTTCTCGATGACCCACGGTACGCTGCACTGAGAAGCGTAGGCACAGAACTGGGCCGTCAGCTGCATGAGGCGGGCCCCCATCTCGAGCTGTCTCCGAATATGGGGCTGAACATCTGGCAGCCCGAGGATATGTTGCTTGGAACGAATCATTGGCCTTCTCGCAATACTGCACGTGGTACACGGGGGGGCGCAGAGCAGGCCGAGGCAGCGAGGATGTGCGATCAACCTTCGGATGCGCCGTTGCACACTGACACGTGTGACATCACCCTGCGGGCCTTGCAAAACATCGAAAGCGAACGCATCGATCCCCCTCCGCCTCGCGGCTCGACTGAAGCTGCCACACCCGCTGAAAACTTCAATCACGAAGAAGCCTTTCCTGGCGGCACGCCTCGGTGTGCGCGAAGCTGCTTGCCGGCTCTCAGCATGGTTGCCTCGAGCTCGAGTGCGCACCTGGTGCACATGCGACGGCTGCGCTGGTCTAGATTGTTGTAGACGTCCTGCACCAAGGCCCTTTTTTCGTACCTCCTGACCGACGCCATGCTCCTCCATCTTCCCCGACGTTGTACTTCGGCGAGGTCGAGGCGGTTGTGGAGTCGATCCAGACTGGCACCCGAGTGCCGCCCCATGTACAGGACGGGTTTCAGGTAGCTGATGCCTACCACGCCACACACGGTGATGAAGCTCGCATTCATCTGCTTCAGGCTGAAGTTCCACAGGGGGCTTTTGCTGGGGCGAGCGTCCACGTACATCATCTGTATGTCCGACAGCCAAGGGCGACTCACGATCAGGCTCTCGTCCACTGCCCCCACCTTGCTGGACTGGCCGTGCTCGGCGGGGCGCAGCAGGATGGCCGCCAACGCCGTGCGCCGCTGCGACGTTGCCCTGAGCACCTGCGAGGTCTTGAGGTCCAGGCACTCTCCCGGCCGCATGTAGGTGTCCACCATCAGCAGCCAGGCCAGCGCCATGCCCAGTCCCTCCATGCGCAGCAGGTTCACCGCGATCGCGGCCACCACCTCCCACGGCAGGGATCGGCGGGTCCGCCTGGGCACCAGGCGGCGCCAGCCCCGCAGCGACCGCGTCGCCCTGGGCAGGGTCATCATACCCTTGGCATTGTACACCGGCACCACGTACTGTATCGCTGCAATGAGCTTCTCCCCTGTCGACGGCGCCTTGCCCTCGAGAAAAAGTCGATCGAAGTAGCAGACCACGTGGGCGTCCAGCTTCGCCGGGTGCAGGCTGAGGTCCACGACATTCTGCTTCGTCTGGAAATCCGAGAGCAGTCGCTTGCACTGACCTCGGGTCTTCAGCGTCAGCGAGGCCTCCTCGGTGATACCGGGGCCTTCTGTCGTGTCCCGCAGCTCCCCGTGGGTGGCCAGTCGCCTCGCGGCTCGCCTCTGCTGCAACCTCAGCTCCTTCTCGCGCTCGGCCTCCTTGAGCTCCAGCAGGCCCAGGATCGGGTGACCTGGAGCTCGGGGGTTGGCCCCGACCAAGCTCGACACGTTCAGGCCGGTCTTCTGCCGCTTGCCCTCCTGCGCCTCGCTCGGCCTGCCGGGCACCCTCGGCTGGCTGGTGGCCTGCTGGCTTTGATCTGACCTGTTCCTCGGGCGAAGATGATTCGGCCGCCAAACTGGCGCTGACTGCATTGCTCTTCGTAGATGGCTCTCGCTTGCGGGAGGGTCCATCGGCGGGGCTGAGTTCAGAAGGCATCCATCGGCATACGAATCTGGATCGAGTGGCTAGAGCCCACGCTGCGGCCTTACGGTGGAGCATGAGAAGACGTGGATCTCGACACCTGCCCTTGGAGAGAGACAAGATGAGCCCGATATTATCTCCCAATATCAACCACGAACGGCCCCAATCTTTTGGATCTTGCACGGCCTGACGAATAGCTCCCAGAAGACCTCGCATCTCGGTGACGTGTATCGGCTCGTACGTGAAGACGGGTTGGAATCGCTCGACCGACCACGACGTAGACTCTACCACGTGTGCGGGCACCTCGGGGAACTCCCTATTAACGTAGACGTGGCTGAATTCGACCTCCTTATCTTCCCAGACTCCAACCCCCAG